TTTTATTGAAGTGTAATTTACATATATAAAATTCACCCTCTGTAAATGTACAATCCAGTGAATTTGGTATATTCATAGAGTTCTGCAGCCATCATCAGAGAACATCTTCTTCATCCCCAAAAGAAACCTGGACTCATTTAGAATCATACCCACTGCCTCCCCATCCCTAGGACTCTGGATTTGCTCTCTGTCTCTGCAGATGTAGCTTTAGGAGACATTTCATATAGATGGAATCATTCAACATGCAGTATTTGCTTTGGCTGCTTTCATGCAACTTAATGTTGTTGAGGTTTTTCATCTGTATTGTCATGTGTATTCATTCTCCATTCCTTTTAATTGTTGAATAGTATTCTATTATATGGATATATCACAATTTATTCACCAGTTGACAAACATTTTGGATTATTTCCAGTTGGAGGCTGTTATGAATAATGCTGCAGTATTTGTGTACATGTCTTTGTGTGGACATGCTTTTACTCTTAGATATCCAGTTTCTAGGAGTGGAATTTGGGAGTTGAAAAATTTATGTCTAGCATTTTAAAGAAATTACCAGGGGTAGGGGGAACATAACAACAAAAAGGGTACCTAATCTCAAACCAGGCAAAGTGGGAACCAAAGGGAGGCCCAGACTTTACTTGTACGATGTCCACTTATATACCTAATCTTGAATTGTACCCCACATCTTTAAAATAAAATATATAATAAAAAAGAAATTACCAAACTGTTTCCCAAAGTGGCTGCTCAGTTGTACATTCCCATCAGCAATGGACACGGGTTTAGTTTCTTCACATTCTTGCCAACACTTGGTATTGTCTCTTTAATTTTAGTCATTTTGGTGGGTGTTTAGTGGTATCTCACTGTGGTTTTAATTTGCACCTTCCTAATGACTAATGATGTTGAGCATCTTTTCATGGATTTATTTGCCATCATATATCTTCTTTGGTAAAATGTCTATTAAAATATTTTACCCATTTTAAATTGTTTGTCATTTTATTGAGCTGTAGGGTTGATTTTATTTCTAATTTTAAAAAGTGTCAACAGGACTTTAATTTTGTAAATCCAGTTTTAAAAGCAAGCAGTTGAATAGGATGGTTAGCTCTCCTAGAATCACAGACCGCTCTAAGAGGCCTTTGCAGATTTTGTCACCTCCATGGTGTCCTGGGTAGGCAGGCATCCTTCAGTTTTAGAAGAGGAGGTTGCTGTCCAGAGAAGAAAACTGGCGGGGGGGGGGGGGGGGGGGGGGG